CACCTTTGTGACGTCATGGACGACGATTTATCGATGCTCGTGCGCTTGTCCGCCCGGACAATGTGCTGCGTTTAAGAGGGAGTAATTACAGCGAGGGGTAAGGGAAGTAAGGGCCACATGTTGGAACGCTCGTTTTTCTAGAGGTGGGCAATAAGAGCACGATTGAAGCTGGCCGCTCGACACCTAACGCTAGCCGCCTCGCACTGCGCGAGTGACACTCGCTCCCTCGAATCAGTGGCGATTTTGCAATTCCTCCATTTAAGTCTTTTAAAAATATCGATTTTAAATGAGGCAAGCTGGAGTCCCTGTATACGGGAGAGTATTGCCATCTCTGCGCCGCTCTCTGATTGGTTCATCGGTTTCAGGCTATCATAGAACGCCGAAGTTGGACCATTGTAAACAAACCCAACCCAGAGGAACACGTACTACTGGCTGAGAAATGAATGATAATCACATTCAAAGCTTAATTTTCGGCAAAAATATTCATCAAAGTTCGATCCGAACTCAATTCCGAAGTTGGATGTAAAAAAATTGCTATCACACCCAAAATCACGTCTAGACCTTTGGAGAACTTTTCCGTCATCTTGTTTGTTTACATTGGGCCAAACTAAAAGCGGAGAGACTGGGGTTTTTTCACATTGGTCCAACTTTAAGGCTCCATGATAGCCGACCAATCGGAGAGCGGCACACTTTTTCTGTGGTAAAAGGATTGGTATGGCAATATTCTCCCGTAGACAGGTACTCTAGTATTCGATTGAAAAAATAAAATAAAAAAACGTGAGCCGATTGGCGTGATTCGATCAATAACGTTTGGGGGAAAACCCCAAAGTCGATTCGATCGACATGAATTGATTGAAAGCGAACAATGTTGACGGATCGACAAATCCGTGAATCGATCGAGTAAATCGTGAATAGGTATAAAACACTGAGAATTGATCGAATCGGCGTTAATGAATTCGCTGTCGATCAGTTCAGGATTTTATTTTTCGATCGAATCGACACCGGTTTTCGGATCGATTCATGTCGACATTTTCCGACTTTAATGGGAAATAAGTTTCCTTTTGAAAAGAAAAGTAAAGCTACCTAATTTTTCCGCCAAGCTTGCACACTTAGTGCAAGATAGTCTTGCGATAGGCTCAGGGACAAAATTAAATTACTGAGTGAACAATTAAATTGCTAAAAAAAAGTGACTGCAATATTTCAACGTAGATTTCACAACATAAAAATGCTACTTTAACCACTATTGTAAGCTAATTTAACCACGGGGGTGGTTAAAGTAGCATTTTTGTGTTGTTAAATCTACGTTGAAATATTGCAGTCACTTTTTTTAGCAATTTAATTGTTAAATCAGCACTTTAATTTTTTCCGTGCTGACAGGAGCGTGAGCGTCTTGAGGAAACACTCAAGTGCTAGTACTCCCTGGTAACATCTTTACGTAAGAACTCAGAGGAAAAAGGTAAAATTGGTATTGCTTACGAGTTTGCAAGTTGTACGTAAGAGAGCTTGGAAAGAAGTTGTAAATAGTCAGAGTTCAAGAATTTTATGTAAGAAATTCAATGTGAAAGGGATAAAGAGAGTTAATTCTTACTTTTTACAAATTTTCTTTGTAAGAAGTACAGCATGGGACTTTCGTGTTTGGTCCAGTTTTACAAATTTTTGTAAGAGTTTTTACAATATTTTTATTGTGTAAACTCCATGTTATGTGCCACGAGGACTGCAAAAAATTCTTATGAAAGAACAATTTTGTCAGGGTTGATGTTAACACTGCATGAATTAAAATGCTTACTGGTTTTTAGTTTTCAATCGTGCACGAGAGTTCCTTTAAAAAAAAAAATTCTTTTTAGGACCCTTTTGATTAACGGTGATTGTACACTGAATTTTTCTATTGTAGCTGAGAGTTATAGATCAGTAGCTCTCCATTCATTCAATGAGAGGAAGTATTTAAGAGAGTACGGTAAAACCAGAAATTTAGTTAAATTATATGTATTTGTACAACAAAAATAATTCAATCTCACTTATATAATAAAATAATACTTTTTCCGATTAAAAATTAAAGTTACATTAAAAACATATTCAATAAAGCCATCTTTAAATAAGGATCAGAGATAAAATAATACTCACATTTTTTCTTATCTGCATTTCGACACATGAACCGAAAAGAAAAAGGTCTGTTTATTTTAGATAAATAAAAATACACTTAGGAAATAAAAAACTGGATTTAATGCTGATGAGAGAACACAGTGCTCTTTGAAAACCATCCTAACCTTCATAACTTTTATAATGGAAGAAAAATAAATGAGCAGATTGAGACCATTTGGACTATATTTAGCAAAATTAGGACGTTTAGGATTATTCCTGGCTCATCCGTAAAAACACTTGCGTGCATAGGGAAGTTAATGGTATATACGTTAATTCTAAGCTTTTTTAAAGCAAGAAGTTGTTATTCCTAATAGCAAAAAGTGGACTATTTTTTCTTCATTTTGATCGTCCTGATCAATAAAATAGCTAAAAATTAATTTGTCAACTGTCCGATGGAGATTCTATTGCTCGCATAGAAATTAAGTTTTGAAGTGAAGTAAACGTTACTAAAGTAGGGAAAATGTAACAATTTCCTTTAAGATGGCATCATTCTCACAAAGTTTTTGCAACAAAACAGTGGATTACTAACTTTCCTAAAGTAGTAAAGACAACAACTTGAGCTAAACTTTGGAAAAGAGAGGATGATTTTCCTAAAATGCTTCAATAGGGGCCAATAGTGAGGCGAAAATGAGGACAAAATCCTGATAAACCATCTGTCTGATTATTAAAATCTATATTCAAAGGGGTAGACGAAACAAGAAAGGGAACATAGAGCTGTCCTATCGGGTGAAGCAGGTGGTTACAATAGACAAGGATTTAAGTGATGGACTAATTAACAGCAACCAACAAGAAACTCTAGACTTAGTCCCGTCTTATCTCTCCTTCGCCTAGAACTACCAACCGTTTCAACAGAGAGGATTGCTCCATTTTCCTTTTCCATCTTTGTCTACTAATGCCACTAATCAGCCCAAAGTTGATATTTAGGGCGATTTAGAACTGATTTGTCTCTTCCCTTAGACAAAAAACAACTAAAATAAACGCTAATTCCAGGTTACTTTTTTGCTCTCAATCCGCCCCTGCGCATCATGATAAGAGATAAGTGTAAAAAAGAGAATCCCTTTTTTTTAAATGTTATAGCTAGGATAGTCATGTAATCTTGAAGAGACAATGAGACTGCATACTTTAAAGCAGTGAAAGCACAGAGTAATAGACAATTTTGGTAAAGAATAAGGATTTGAGGATGCTGGAAACCTACTATTTTCAATAAATTAGCAGGAAAAGGACAAAATGCTCAATATCGAATTTGCTGACTTACATATCAATACATTTGATTGACAGAGTCTTTCAATTTCATTAAATGTAGTTTGTACAGAAAGTTTATGGTCCATCAAAATGTGTCACATATTATTTTTCCCCGACACTGGTTAGACCTAATCGTCACAGTGGCCGTGTGGAGATAAATTCAAGAATGGATTACTGTTGACTCTTTGAAATAGTTTTTGTTGGATTCAATAAAACGATCAATCATGATCTTTTGGGGCTGTCCACAAAATTTGCATACTTAATGACTCCCCCCCCCCCCCCCCCCCCCCCCCCNATAAATTACACACATACACGATTTGAAAACCAAAATTTCATGAAATGATTCTAAAAAGTAAACATAAGAAAAACATTGAATGGGCAGTCTTGTTGTATGCATGTTGAATTATGAAGCTTATAAGCAACAATGATAAAATGTAGTCCCAGTTGTTGACTCTTATGAAATTTTTTAAAAAGATTCCAAAACTTGACTGCCAAAAACAGAAAAAAAATTCAGAATCTGACAGGATTCCTTTTCACAGGACACTGTAGTACGATTGAAAATACCTCTCTTTTCCCTACCCAAGCTGTCTATTTTATGGACAGCCCCATGTTTAGGACAGTAAAATAGTTACTGATGGAGGGGGGAACAACTGTGACGACAAACATACATAGCTTGTTAAGCAAGGACCATGTAATTTGAAAGAAGAACTAAGGAGCATGCATGGTTTTTGCTCAGCATTGCAGAAACGGACGAAGTAAGAAGATAGGTAACTTTCAGATAAAAAAAAAATAAAGGCATAGTAACACAGATGTAAACATAGAGAGTTTTGTATTCATCTTGTACAAATAACGCCCTCACCTTAAAAAGTTCATTGTGCTCAATGAAGTTAAAATTTATTCTCTAAAGAGATTTAGGTACAAACCAACTCTATTTAGATTTAATGTTAGGGAAAAAGCGTTTTTCCTAGGACTTCAAGAGGCACATTCTTTGATGATTCATGTATCAAATTTCTTTACAATTTTTTAAACGATTCTGGGTTAAAATTGCAACATTTATCCAGAGATTAAAGAATACCTAGCTTGTTAAATAGTCACGGCATGATGGGTGAAATAATGATCATGTTATCAATCCATATAGGTGAGTTTAAAGAAAAACCCTATTGGTAGTCTTGGTGCTTGCACGGAGGCTTTTGCGCATCTTCTGATAGAAAATCAATAAGTTATTGCATATGTTATTATCAGACTGTGCCAACAGCCACATCCGTATCTTTCTTGGTGTCATCTTTTTTGAACTAGCAAGGTACATAAAATTTTCCTCCAATTATTGGCAATTGAAAAAAAAATACAAAAAAACGCTTGTTTGTAATAACAATAACGGCTAAGATTTTAGTGAAGTTACAACTAATTTTGCACCATTCTAAAACAGCTAATTTTTTGGGGCGAAGATATTTGACTTTCATTACACTGCATGTGACAATATTTAGTAACATTGTAACATATTCAGTGGCAGAGAAATGATTAATTTCATAGACAGCTGTGACAAGGATTGTGATTGATGATCAAATTTGACAGTTTTTTTAGAAAGTTAATCTGAGGAATTTTTTTTTTTTAAAAAAAAAAAAAAAAAAAACTGATTGTTTTTAAATAATACTGCAAATAGTGAGAGAAAAAATTCATCGTTGGCAGGGGTACAGTTAAGTCCATAGTTTATCAAAGAACGACCATCGACCATTGCATCCTTACAGCGACCATTGAAATGAACTCGGTTCTTTTGAATCTATATCATTGCACTTACGTAGCACGGCGATGAAAGGTGTACGTAATTTAAATACTTTAAGGGAATGTTAAGAATTAAAAATATTAACTACATTAATTAATTAAAGTAAAATGAAAAAAATTCAGTTTGCCTTGACAAACATGCTTTCATGGGCTCAATACTCATAAAAATTCCAATTTTGAGTGAATAATTGTCAAACAATGCATGTCAAGGCAACCTGCTAATTTTTTTTTAATTAATTTTGTTACATATTATGATGTATATGCTACATTATTCATTATAAAAATAATAAAATCATTGACACTTTATTCAAATGTGTGAAGATAATTGAGTTAGAAAAACCTTCGCTCATTTCTATACTGTCAGAACGAAAGTAAATCTTCAGTAAATTAATTTATGAGTATAGGCTGATCCTGGGCTCCCATAAAGAGAACAATATCCTCATTCTCCTAATTTTTTCTCAGCTTAGCAATTCAAGAGCTGAAGGGAGGCAGGTATATAATACAAGCTAATTTTATTTACCAATCAGACACAAATTTTGTCTCCCAAGATGGCAGGTCATCGATCCGATAGATGTGGTTTTTCCACAAGTAACCACTCTAGCCATAGAGTAATAGATAAACAGGATTTCCCGAAATCCACTTTTGGAGCAGGAGACAACTTTTTGTACCTGATTTTTGTGAATAAGTTATAATTGGCCCGTGCCGTAATGCTGATGTTGAATGTATGGTACTGAACATGGAAGATCTGACATAAAATAAAATATAATTTTGATTTTTTGGACAAAAATCTGGTTCCAACGGGTAAATAAAATTTGCATACGTTCAGCAATTAAGAGAAGAAGAGTACTGGTGAGAAAAAAGGCATCCTATCTTGACAATATTGAGTAGCTTTTCTTTCCACAAAAACACCATGTTTTTTGATGGCACTAAAAACAGCACGGGTATGACTACATTGAATCACATTTTAGCTAGGAAATGACTTTGATACAGAGTTTATTTGGAAATGAAAAGCTTGACTTTGGTAAACACTCAGGTATTGGACAAAGGAAATTAGGATGATGAAGTAGTTTAACAAAAATACTGTCGTGCTAAGCAAGAGCACCATATGAACCTTCAAGCGCTGCCATGTTTTCCTTGATAAATACGAACTTATAGGCAGACTTGTGAATATTTTTCTTCCAATTTTTTAGAGGATTTTATCCCCAGTTAAATCTAAAGTATCTAAAATTTTTAAGGAAAGAAATTCATACATACTCTTGTAAATAAATATTTTATCATGAGACATCTAGCAACCTTCGAATTTTCATACAGTGTTTACTCTTCGCAAAGCAGAATAAGTCATGACTCTTTTGTGATACAGCAAAGCTTTTGCAAATTCTTTAATAAACGATAAGGACCCCAATGAACTATCTTAATAAAATTTCTTAAGAAAAGATTCCTTGAATTTTTTTATAATATTATAACTCATAAGGTGCATATTTTTGTTACTTACTGTGAAAACAACACTATTACCTGAAATATGACAAGCAGGCTAACACAACAAATAAATGACCAAAGCTTAAAAAATGACTGAGTTCCATGGCTTGAAAAAGAGTGTATATTGATACCAGAGATCATGATTATAGTCAATTGATGTTGCAGATAATTCATTTTGTAACTATAATACAGTGGAATTAAATGGTTTGAGTGTAGCATACCACTCGTTTCACAAGGACTTTTAGCTCTCCAGAGTTTAGTCACCTGAGAGTTATTAAGATTCGCCACCCAAGATCTACTGAGGCAGAACCTCTACATTTTACTCTTGGTTTTGAAAACATTTAAGCTTGCTTTCAGTACCACCAAACTGTGATAGGTAGGCTTTAGTTTTTGTACCTTTGTATATTTTCTTTACTTTATCCAGTTAAAAATAGAGTTGTTATACTCTTAAAATGTCCTGCCTTTGGAATATCTGCATTTTTCAGTATTGAACATCCATTTTATGTGTACTTTGCCTCCTTCAACTACTTATTGGGGAGCCTTAGGATCGCACCATCTTTGCAGTAGTACAAATGAGATCAGACTTGTGAGAAAATGACACACGCACAGAAAATCGAAAAATCAGTACGGAAAGAGAAGATAGGCTTGGACTCCAATGGAAATATTTCTCAAGAGACACACAAATGGCCATTTCAGTAAACCAAAGGCTGCTGTGGCTAAAAACTCAGACCTGCATAAAAATTATTTTCTTAAAAATTTTAGACCTTCTCTTATTTAATTTTTTCACAGGCATTGAGATCAATATCATTACTAACAAATTAGTCTAACCTTTAGAAGCTTATTCATCAGCACTTTCCAAAAATTAGGACAATAACATGAGGTTTATTTTTTTAGTAAAAATAATATGTAGATAAATAGTTTTTAACAACACAGTTTAGATACATTTTTTTGGACTGAAACCTTTCTCAAGTTTTAACTGTATCTGCTGTATAACGACGCTGCAACTCCTAAACCACGTACCTTGTTTGCGGCATTTTAAAATCTCTGTTCTAATTTTATTTTTTTGAAGAAGAACGACTCAAAATGATTGCTTAAAATTTTCCCAGAATATGCTTCACTCTGCGAGGAAAAATCACGAAAAGTTTGAAAATATGACATTGAGTAGTTTTCCATTTGAAGGATAAAGTAAGCCAGGAGGTCTACAACATTGCAAATCAAGTTACATACGTGATTTCAGAGTTTTACTGTCGATATTTCTTGTTTTTTGGCTGTCAAAGCAGCATAACAAAAAGATGAGTGTAAATGAGAACTAAAATGAAGGTTGTAAGTCTTGATAATGCAAAAACACGTTGGAGACTTTCTAAAACTTAAATTTTTGCTCTAAAACTTGAAATCGTTATTAACCGGGTCGCTTTACGTTCAAGATTAACTGTACAATCGGAAATAAGAGTTACTCTAGGCAATCAAATTAACATCAGAAAAATAAAAACACTAAAAACCACATTCATAAAAATAGAAAATGACAGAATAGAGTATAAAAAATAAAAATTAAGATCTGACCTTAACTTACTCCTGACACTTCAATATACCTACAATGTAAGAGAGGATCACTCATCAACTGTACACTAAGTATTATTTCAAAAATCTATTCGAAATGATCGCCCAAGCATTACCACACTTGGAAACCACTGAAAGAATTTGTTACACGCATCAGAGAATCATGTTTTGATGGCAGAATTGGATTGTGCAAAGAAAAGTAAAATCTGTTGGAAGTATGAGTTTTTTCATACAATATGAAAATGATTACTAACCATGGTTTTAATCACCATTGGTACCACTTAATAGGTATTAACAATATTAACTCCAGTTACTTTCTACAGAAAAAAACGAGTTTGTGATAGAGAGGTCAATTAGCGTTACCTGACTTTTTTGAGGCCCACACCTGCCAGTTTAGAGCCGAGACACATACGAAGGTATAGTGTGGCCTTAAACTGACAGATTTAAAAACACAAAAAAGTTATGTAATGTCAATTTACCTGCCCGTCTTGTCTGATGCAGACCACTTTTTCAGTGTAATTGGATCATGGATGAGACCAAGACAAGGGAAACCATGGTAAACCGTGGTCCTATTGTAGTGAATGGCATCATGTAATGCATCAATAAAAGGGTCATATCTTGCCTCATACTGGTACAGGAACTTGACATCCTAACCAAGACTGTGATGTTTCATTCACACATCAGATCCAACCCCATCAAAACATGGTTCTAAAATAAACGCACTACAACTTCCAGCATTGACGTTTGAACAAGTGGGAAAGATTACCACCTGAAATAATTACACATTGAGCATGAATTAAACACTTTTGTCGTTGAACAAAGTGCCATGTGAGCAGTTTGCTCACGGAAAGGTTTATTGTACACAAGGTAAGAAGGCTCTTTATCGTTGAATAATCGTAAGAAGTGCAAACTTCTCGCGTTTAAGGAATTGACAAAAAACTACGATTCATTTTGCAAGTGGCAAAAACGTATTAATATATAACTATTAAAAATATATAATAATAATAATCCAGTCTTCTAAGAGATCAGTAGCTTAACTGAGCCATTGAGTTCCAGCTCTCTAAAAAAAATAAATAAATAAAATAACACTTGCTTTACCTACCTGATAAATCTTCAACTTCAACTCTGCCCATTTCAAGATTAAATTTTATGACTGGGAGAAGAACTCTTTCAAATAAAAAAAATATTAAAAAAAAATGAAATTCACGTTGTAACGTATGCTAGAAATTACCAAACGTTCTATTTGAGAAACATGGTTATGAAGCTCATTATCAGCCATCAAATTTCTGTTTAGCACTGAACTTCAATGCATCTTTCATTAATCAAAGTAAATTAAATTATCAAAGCGGTAGGAAAATTTCTGGAGGTATTTTTGGAACCAAGACAATCTTTCCGAGTGTTCAAAGCACACAAACGTAAGGAGATAAACCAAGCTCCTTTAATTTTAAATTTATGTGTCTTGAATTCTGAAAAACTTCATAATAGGAAATAACGGGCGGAGAGAGACGATTGGCACAGGTCAAAAGAGAGTGGATTTTCTGGAATTTACAACCAGCAAAGCTACTTTTTCTACAGACTCTCTGAGTAGAGAGTTGAAAATAAGTCCACAATTTTGGTAAGAGCAACGGTCCCCTATCACTTATCAGAGAATTTTGGGACACAATTATAGAGACTATAAAGAAGTACCTGATGAGGACCGTGATTTGACCATCTGGTAAAGCTTGCTAACGATAAGTACGAAAACTGCAGCGAATTTATGCAACACCTCTAAATTGTACTTGTATCCAATTTTAGAACTTGAAGTATCACATTGTACAGGGCTGCAAAAAATAAAGAGAAACATAATGAAATTAAAAAAATGGGAAACTTCTAACCAGGCATGAATAACACAAGCAGAGACCCTTTCAGGTTGGTTAAAAAGCGCACAAAAATGATGATGGGCACATCAAAAAATCTGAAATCCACTCCTCAGCGTGCAAAGTGCGTATTATGTAATATGCTCTGTCAGATTTCTTGCATCCATGCAGTTTAATCTTGGAGGCAGACAAACGGGTTTACTCACAGAGAGACGCGCAAAAACCTGACCTTTATAATGAAGTCTTTAAACTTTTACTTAAAATTACAATTTAATCCTTTAATCAGGCACCTTATTCATTATAATCTGAAACTAGGAGAAGGATAAGCTATGAACTATAAGAATTTTATGAATTGCTACTTTTCCATACACGTGATTTCAATTTCAAAACCTTTTTTTCTTTGCATAACCTAGAAATAAAGAGGAAACAAACACTTGAAACCAAATGACGTCAAAAGTTTGAGAGAGGGTTGGTTTTTTAAACTACGTTTTTTTAAGTCTCTTTCTGGACAAACGTTGTCACCCTGGCTACAGAGAAAAACTGCCCAATTGCGGGAAAGTAAGAACAGAAACAACAAACTGTGCAAATCACACATTGTAGATTGGATTTTAGCCTTCTGTCCCTACAGTGATTTTAATGAAAGAAATCGTACTTACTAGGCTGTATCTCATGGGTTCAAGTCTTTATTTAATTGAAAACTAAACAGAAAGAGTGAGGAAATAAGAGAGGTAAGTATAACTCAAAAAATGTTTCAACCTTAGACTTTCTTAGGACTCAAGTAGATTAGGGTAAATCTACAGCAACTCGTAGTAACACATTTTTCGACGCATGGGACGCTACTGCTACATTACAATTTTTGGGATTATGTTGATAGAGTTTATACTGCTTACCAAGAGTCCTTGAATTACCGCAGGAATTAAAGAGAATTCTTTCAAAATTTAAAATTCACAAGTGAGTAGCTAAAACGTTCTCCTCTCCATCCATACCAAAACTAATTTTTCTACCTTGCAACGAAATAGACAATTTGCCGCACTTTTGAAACTTTCAAAACCTCTAATTTTAAGGACCTCTTTTCTAAAATTGTGATTTTGCATCTCATCCCAAAATCTTCCTCTATTTTCTGCACATTTGCTGTATCGCAAAATCAGGCATTTTCGACACCCCTGAGAATTCCTGTGGCAATTTCACAGACATCGTCCACATTAATAGGTAGTTTGAGGTTAAAAAATAATAAGAGTACTTACTTCATACTTCAGAGGGCTCTTGTTGCTGGTCTAAAGGTGGTGACTGCGAAGGGCGAGGTAGAGGGTAAAAAGCTGAGCCTAGACTAGGCTTCAGTGTAAAATTGACACACGGTTTGATTGGGCAGTAATCCATGAGACTCAAATCTAGCATAGGTTTCCTAAAAGAAAAAAATACAATATTACAAAAATACTGTTTTGTTTCCATGCTCTAAATTTAGCATTTTCAAGCAAGTAAAAGTGTATTGACAGTCAGTGGCCCAGGAGTGCTCCGCTCCCTCTTCGGAGTCCACAAAAAAACAAGACAAAGACAAAACAAAAATGCAATAATTTGAGTCAAAATTTAATTCTGAATCATTCTGGGTGAATTTTTCTTGGCAGAGCATTCAAGGATTAGGTGGCGCACAAAAAGGTCTGACTAATTAAAGGTAGCATTCAGTCCAAAGTAAACAATTTCCCCATTTTTTGAAAAGGACAAGCTATTATAGTTTTCAAAGTTTCAATTCATGATTCCTTGGCTTGACTTGACTTCAAAATTTCCAAATTCCTTGACTTAGGTATTCTTTATTTTCCCTGACCTTTGATCAGAACCTTCACTTTCACTTCATTTTTTTTTTTTTTTTGTTATTTATTACCCTGACTTTTGCTGAACTATGGACAGAATCTCCACAATTAGGGATTCAAATAGAGAGGAAAAACACACTGAAGTTGTTTGCCCATTCTCGAATGGCACTGGCTGAGGTTGCTAGGCTGCAATGCTCCACGCAAAATTCCCTGATTTTTCCAGGTGATTGTAAGTTCCCGGACCCTTCAGGATTCCCAGACCGCTGCACCAGTTGTGTCACATTTTACTAAAACATATTGTGAGCATTACATGCAAAGACAACAGATAATTTATTTAGACAGTGAATTAAATCTGACTTTCTCTGATCACTATCTGAAATTGACTCAATTAGAAATTAATAATATTCAGATGAGAAATCTGATATCACTTACATTGAGCCACCCTAACATGATGTATCCAACAAAAAGAAACCTTAAGCAGGTATATTCAAGCAATGATAATCAAGCTTACCTATTGTCTTCCAAAAACTTCAAACTAACTTTTTCACAGCCATCTGGAGGTTCTCGGGCTAAGAACTTATTGATCCTTGGAGATGCACCAAATTTTCCAGGCTCATGATCTGGAGACGACTCTCCGCTCACTGAAAACAACAAGTAACAAACTGAACTTTTTTCATGCCATTTCAACAGTTTCAGTGGTAGCATCTTTGGAAACAAGAGGCCTTTCGTAAAATAGATAACACCTGGCCCAAAAGAAGAAATATTTTAATTGATTGTTTTCCAACAGATGCCATAACCTATCAGAATGCAAACGAAAGGTGTACATAATCAACTTCTAAAATCCATGTCAAATAAATTTACTACGGTTTGGACTGCGACAGAAGATTGTTTGACGTCAGTTTAGCATTGAAAATAAATGCAGAAATCAATTTAGTAGATCTTCTGTTGCAATCTAAAAGTGCGTAAAGTTATTCGGCCTGGACTCGGACACCATTTGCTCGGTAGGTTTTGATCTGTATTACTTATGTCCTTTCAGAAAGACTTTCAGACCTTTCAGAAATTTGCAAAACTTCTTTTTTGAGGAGTTTTGATTTATTTCAATGATTCCATAATATTGACAGATTCAAATAAAAAAACATAAAATCCACAAACAAACAGCAAAGTCCATTGTTTATCAAATATGTTTAGAATAAGAATCAATGCAATTTTCGAGATTAAGGGATAAGTTTTAACTGCATTTGAAGGTAATTGAATTAATAAATGAGAATTAGATTGATTACTGATCTGTGTACAAAAAGCAAAAAAAGTAGTGGTAAATTTAATGCTAATGAGGATATCTTACGGAGTAAGTCACTGGAAGGACGAGATCGGTCAAACAGAGGTGAAGATAGTGGTGTCGTTGAAAAGGCACTAGGAGTCTGTGTATTAACTGAGCGTGTCGTATGTCTCAGTAGGTCAGCCAAAGGAGCTCTATGACCTTCAGGAGTACCACCCTAGGGAAAAAAAATTTCAATCATTATTTCTACATTTATTACCACAGTTAAGCATACGTTGGGCAGAGACTTTTCAGCCCAGCTTTTTATAATTCCATTGTTTAATTTGGAGCTTCTTATTCTTTTCTGCTTCAATTTCTTTGTTTGGATTAGACTCAGAAATTTGGCTTCAAAGAACAGGCATTATGTTTAACAAGTTGATAGCCAAAGGTTCAAGTACAAGACGCAACAACTTCGAAAACTAAAAAAAATGCACCTACAAAACGATTTCTTGACTACAGTTACTGTAAAGCATTCATTGTCTAGTTTGTCCAGAAGCCTGCAGACAGCGCAATGAGGGAATTGAGGATTTCAAAACAAGGTATTTGCAGAGGCATTCTGACCAGCATTGGCGCTTAATGGTTACTCCATAAATTCAACTGACAAAGCCAAACTCAATTTAGTGGCACTTTCCTTTTTGGAATCTTAATTTGGACCATGTAGTGCAGAAAGGAACCGAGCCACATCAGCTACTGCCAAATTTAATTGAGCAATTTAATTTTATACATGAAAACGGATGTGCGGAATTTCATGAAAATTTCAGTGAATTTCTGCATCGTATTAAACACATTCCTCAAAATTTTCAAAGGAGTCTGCACAAACGTTCTCTTGTAAAAAATCAAATTGCTCAGTAAAATTTGGCAATAAGTAGCTGATATGGGCTTGGTTCCTTCCTGCTAAACGCAGTTCATTTATTACATACAACTTAGAACATGCCAGGGACAAATTTCACTTTTTCTGTAATTACTCAAGCTCTTCTTGGTGCACCAACAAAGTCGAAGAGTACAATTTCAGCACTAATTTGAATTTGGTAACCTGTCAAGACTTGTTTCTCATGAAGACTTTCTGGACTACCTTCTTACCTTTGCCCAGTTTCCTTTCAATCCCACCTAAAGTCCTGAAAAGTTTCTCTGTTCGATGTCTGTTTCTATCTAGTTTTCTATTTAGACTTCTATCTCTAGTTCTTCTCTCAATTATTTATATTTTGGGCACAGGAAGAGGGTATATGATCAGCATACTATATTACTCAGCGACACTAAGAAAGGACCCATTGTTCGAGCGATAAAACTTGTCCATAAAATTTAAATTTTAAAGAGAAAAATTTACCTTCTCATCACTCCTGACTGAGTCTGCTGTTCCCAAAGATGAGGTAGCTTTCAACACTAGTCTTTCGATCTCCTGGTTCAGACCCTCAACTGAGCTTCGCATGGGCTGCCTTGAACTTTGAGTTGAAGCATCGCTTAGAGGAATATTAACAGCACCGATGGACAATGGTGATGTTGGAGATCGAGTTTGTGATCCATGTTCGACGGCAAATCCGCGTGGCGAATTAGAGCGTAGAATCAAACCAAATGCAGCAGTTCTTTCTCGCTGGCTACTTGCTGAAATCCTACTATTACAACCTTCTTTGCCCGAACGCTCGAGCCTAGATTGGAAGAAAAACAAAACATATAATAAAATGTATTTCATTTTACTTCATACTCTGCACAAAAGGAAGGATTTACAAATTTTCATCTAGAGCAAAGAATGATTACTCAACCTTTGAAACCTTCCAGAAAATCGTTTGAAGATGTTTAACTGTGCTACTTTCAACAGGGTTGCAAAAGGATGTAAGAAACGTATTTTTCGGGCATTTTCCTGATACATTTTGGTAAGATTTTCTGATATTTGAAGATATACAAGATGGTTGAAAACCACTGCTCCCAAACCTGAACACGCAACATTTGTTGTTCAAAATATCAAGCACATTTTGGAGAGCGGATGAAGGCAATTCACCCATTTCTTTCTTACACTTTTGTCATTTTCTTCGCATTTCCAGGTTTTAACTAACTTTTCAAAATTCCCTTACATATCCCTATTTCCTTTATCTATGGCGACCTTGTTTCAAGATAGATTGAGCTATTCATTCAAAACTTACGGATAATTAGAAGTAACACTCATGAGGACTTCAGCTTTCCAGTTTTATTTATGTCAGATCATTAAAGCCAACGATGTGACTGCATTAAAAAAGGCTTCATTGAGTGATGCAATCTGTTTACTGGTTATACAGATTCATATTTTTGACTGATTTTAAGGACAAATAAAGGCACCAATGTCTGGAGCCAGTAGATCAAACCAACTAAATGTGTCCCTTCATTTCTCTTAGGCCCCATCTTTACTACTTAAAAAAAAGGAGTTCCAATAGTCAGCCAGAAGAAGTTTCCATTTACAGGTGGTGGAAAACAAACTCTTAATCATGGGATCATTGAATAAAACTTAGGAATATGACCAATATTCATTGAGCTACAGACTAAAAACCTGTGTATTGACATTTTTAGAAAAAATAGGTTTAAAGAAGCGTCAGAAAATACTCATTTTTAAATTGGATTTCCTTGTTTAGCTTGATTTGAATGTTACCATTCACGCTCCAACAGCTTTTTTAATATCCTCTTGTGTGAGAAATCAACATACCTGTGTCGGATATACTTTTCTAGTTTATCTTCATTTTTGCTCGTGTCTAACGCTAAGCTTTGCTGAGATCGACTCTTGATACTGTCAGGAGAAAGGGAACAGTCATCAGTCTGGAAAAAAGGAAGGCATTTTTTAACTTTCCAGCCAAATTAGAAATAACATGCAGAGAACGAAGGAGAATTTTATGATTCTTTCTATTCTATTTATTGATGAAAACCATGAGTGGGGTCGGATCAAGTTAAAATTAATGAAATTTTAGAAATGAAGTGTACAACTGTACACATGGGGCACCTAACTCATATTAGGTTCCATCTTCAGCTGCCAGTAAACTAAAAAACGTGTTCCAAAAAATAAATTTAAGCAAAAGTGAGTAAGTATGAGAACAATTTTATGATTCTTTGCAATGTCTGGATTTAACCCAAATAAGATTCATGTCAAAAGTTCTGGAAACCCATTCTCGTCAATTCGCAACTTGGAAAAAAAATCATGTTTTCTTTAATCAGTTTACCTCAGTTAACTCACTGAGGATTCTTGATAACGAGGAACCCTTACATCCTTTCAGATCACACGACCACAATTTCCCTGCACTGATTCAGATCTGAAGTTGAGGATGGTCACAGGTATCTTGACAAGCAGTCAGGGATACGATAGTATTAATCAAAAAGAGACCTTTAAATTGGTGTTTATTACCTGAATAGCTTTATCCAAACATAGTTGTCCTGGACAGGGAAACAGGCTATCTCGTGGCCACTGTCCTTTCAAATAGATTGTATCAAACGAGGCTGTCCGTCTGATAGCACTTACACCACCTAGGGGATCATTATAGTGTCCACTGAGAGTTTTACATTTGCCTGGAAAAGAAAACATTAGGCATAATTATTGCAACAGACATACTTAGACGACAAATGACAATCAATTAAAAGAGCATACTACATGATAAGAACCCTGTACAACATACTTACTGTCATCAAAGGAAGACGATTTCTTTCTTTGTGCCTTCATTACTTCGGTATTTGAAAAGGTTTTTTCAAGGACTTCTCCTTGTCCTTTGTTTTAAGGCCAAAATTTCATAGCGATCCTTGAAAATTTCTTGGCTTGATACCTTTTTAATTGCTCCTCATACACACTGAAATCCTACACTTAAGGCATTCTCAAGGAAAATTCAACTTAAGTTCTAAAGTGTGCCTCGAACGGAAATTTTAAGAAGCTACTAATCTCTTCTTCGACTGGAAATCCCTCTGGAACTGCCTCTGAAGGAACCTTCGACTAGGGTAGCTTTTGACAAATAAGGGTACTCGCATTGCCAAAAATTGACTATCCGCTCATCATGATCTTTCACAATCGTTTGTATAGTAAGGTCACGTCATTAACGGGGTGCTGAATGGCAAAGAGAGACACCCCACCAAAGGAGATCTACAGAACTTCACCAGCTCCAAAGGGGCATCTAGGGAGCCTCCCCTAGAAAAATGTTGATAAAACAAGTCAGTATAAAAACAATTCTGAGCTGTTCTGGCTAAAAAATTGATCTGAACACATCTTCAAAGATGATTCATGAGTCACTCTCTTATTCAGCAAAATCCCTCACATTTTCTGAAGGGGGCTATGAAGACTTCAGGAGGGAGCAACCCCCCCCCTTCCCCCCCCTTTGCGGCTCATGATAAAAGCTTTGGTCTGCTTATTTTACTAAGTAGTAACTAATATTACGTCATGAAAAAGGCAAAACTGGGTTGATTATGTGCTGGCGATGAACGCTCAACGCAGCCACCATTGGCTTTGACATCCATCAAGCCATGATTAGTGAACAGAATTGAGGATGGTGTATGATGTGTTTTTTGCTGATATCTGATGCTTCCACAGCAATGTTAGATGAATGTTAGAAAAATAAGCGAAAAACTAATCCTGAAAGCTCATTTCATGGCCCACAAAATAATCAGTGAGCTGAGATTTAAATACCAGACCCCTTTACTATTTTAGTTGAACGTCATGGCTGAATAATCTTCATTTCCTTAAGTAGATCTCAATTTTCGGCGATGGAAGCTGCTACGATTGATTACAACTATAAACATAGAGGCGTGTAGAACTTCGGAAGCAGGTCGAATCAGCTCAAGACTCATGCATGTCAGTTTAGTGCACGATTGCCTGCAGCGTAGAACTGCAGGGCCTGAAAAGAAAAATTAGGTAAAATATTCAAATGTCTAGGTTGTTGATACCTACTTGAGTGAGTAACTGCTCCAGGACTCCTAACCCCTGACAAGACAGAATCAGTGGGAGAGAATCGAGATTTCCAACCTGAAGTTGGAGACGAGGTTGGACTGCTATTATTACTATTCCGTAAATTGCTATTTTGTCTCGTTAATGAAGACATAGGCAAAGTGGCTTTCATTGGCCCCTGTTTCGATGAGGGGGAGGATTTTCGGACCCATTGACAATTCTGTCCCGACATTTTGATCCGAGCTTGGAAAAGGTATTATCACAAAGAGGGACGTGAGATAGCTGGAGCGATCGCCGGAGGTAACTTTACGGACACATTACAGATGATCAGGCTGTACAGAAAACGAAACGCTACGGTATCACTTCCGGTAATAAGTTATGAAACATTCAGAAATTGGTTAAGATCGCCATGAACTTGACATCACCAGCGGTACTACAAGGAGCCCGAACACAACAGCAACAGCAACACACAACACACAACGCTCCGGAATACACACACAACCTAACTTTTACAACTACGCACGAGTCGACCTTCCCCCTTCCACCCATTACCCCTACTACTTGACCACTACAACCACCCCCTCCATTCTCCACTCAAATACGCGACAACCTCTCCTACTCCTTTTCATGCTCTCCTGCTTACCCTTTTGTCCCTTTAACCTTTACCGATGTTCCGCTTTTTACTTTTTACTCATGACAGGCTTTCGTGTGGCTTGAAGTCTGTTCGCAAAGCTGAATGCCAACTGACACGGAAATACGGCCAGAGAATATTCTCACATTACTTTTTTTTTATTTTTTTTTTCTAAGTTTGACAGAAATTCCACTGACATTATTCAAAAAAAAATTTGAGACTATCGTAGGTGGAAAATGAATGGGAATCATTAATATCTGCGCTTGGGTGAAATATTTAATGGACAATTTTAAACGGCATTGTAGTGATGGTGCTGAGATAAGGGGCCGTCCATAAAGTACGTAACACTNGGGGGGGGGGGGGGGGGAGCCAGGTCCGTGACGTGAACTTTCAGCTGCCGGGGTAAGTACGTTGTAAGCGCCCAAGGCCTGTTGAGGTCCCGCTGAAAAAGGGGAGAGATCTGGAAGCGACACATTTCCCCAAAAATTTTGGAATAAAAGAATATATAATCTCTGTATATTCAAAATATCAACGTTTCTGAGAGCTGCA